ACCGCCTGACTGCCATCCCCCCAATCAGAAACCTCTGTACTGGAATCCCCCCAAACCAACAGCCTCCCACACTATGATCCTCCACAACCAGCAACTTCTGCACTTTGCTCCCGCCCCCCTCAATCCAGCCATGATTTACACAGCTTAACCCTTCCCATTATCCCTCGCACATCATGTCCCATAAAAGCACACCAGCGGCAGCCCCTCTGTTTCTCCAGCTGTGTCCTAGGAGATGACACTCGGGTGCTTCGTGACTGTGAGGCACGTACTGGGCTCCCAAGGCAGGGGCCCCCTCCTTCCATTCCAGGGGTTTCTATTTGGCAGTGCCTGGATACATAAGAGGGAGCCACTGAAACCTCAGCGCCTTTCTCCATCTCCCCGCTCTCTAGCTTGGCCCTTCAGCCTCTTTGAGATTTGCTGGAGAGTGTGAATTGGAATGAGCTCTCCATGTAGGCTGAGTGAGACGTTATACCCAGCTACAAACAGCCAAAATGACTGACAACGTTGAGTTACAGTTGTTACGTAACATTCCCATCCAACTGTACCAGAGAGCGCAGCCATTAAAAACACCTCTTAGCTGCCTGGAAATGCAGGGAGGGGACCCTGAAGAGCGCTCAATGAAATGTGCCTCTGTAACAGATCCCACTGGCTAGTCCAAAGCAGCCTTCACTCTGCCATATGGACATTGCTCCCTGATGGTGTCTTGCTGCTCTTCTTCCTCGTGCTCCTTACCACACTCTCCCCGCGCTCTCGTAGATGGAGCCCTTGCTGGTGCTTTCCTTCCTGCTCTCTCAGGGGGTAGGTCAGTTCCCTATTCCTCCATCTCACCTGTTCCCCTCTCAGGCACAGCGGGCAGGGCAGACAGGCAGGAGGTGGAGGTGTCTGACAATCTCTTTTCTTCTTTCTCCTGTCTAGGGTATGGCCCCCATCACCATAGTACGTGAGTGCTTCACCGGCTTTAATGAGTGTATCCAGACAGCCCCTGGGAGCAGGGCAAGGCTGTTACCCTGCTGCAGAGCTAAGCACTAAGGCACAGAGCAGCTAGGTGACTTGCTCAAGGTCACACACGGACTCTATGGCAGAGTCAGAACTTGAACCCAGGTCCTGGGCCCTAACCACTGCACCATCCTGTCTCCCTTCTTTTGGCTCTTTGGAAGCTGAAACGCCCCATTGATCTTTCCATGTGCAATAACCCTGATCCAGTTCCCCCTTCATTTTGTGGGATAAATGAGGCTTTCTATATGGAAGAGGGGAAAGCAAGTGGATTCACATCCTATCACCGTATTTGCACCATGTAAGCCTGCAGGATGCAAACCCAGCTCAGCACTGAGGGGGGTGGGGATGTGCTGGACTGAAAGCATCAGAAGAAACGATGAAGTGTGTGTGTGTGCGCGCAAGGAAATGTGTGTCTGTGCATGCAGATGTGTGTAAGTGTAGGTGTATACATGTATATGTGTGTGTGCATGTGCACAGACACGGGCATGGCTGTGTGTGTGCATGCCTGCAGACGTGTGTGTATATGTGTAAGTGTGTGTGTGTACATGCACATGTGTACAGTGTGTGTGTGTGTGTAAGTGAGTGGGTGTCATGTGAGCACGGTTATAAGTATTAAAGCATGAATGTGTGCATGGATACGTAAACATGACAATGTCTGGGTACATGTACATGTGTGTTTCACATGTGTTTGCACACATGCTGTGATGATGCCTAAGTGAGTGTGTCCGTGTGTGTATAATTGTGTGTGCATTGGACACTGTGTACTGTAGAGTAATGGTACATTTGTGTGTTGATGCAAATGTGGGAATGGGCACGAAGGAGACCTAGGAACTAACGGGTGTATATAACCCTGGGTCTGTCTACACTGCAGCTGGGCGTGTGCTTCCCAGTGTGGGTAGACAGACACATGCTAGCTCTGCTGGAACTAGCATGCTAGAAATATCCGTGTAGCCGAGGGTAGCATAGGCCACAGCTCAGGCTAGCTGCTGGGGGACAAACCCGCCTGGACCCCCGGACAGCTAGCCCAAGCTGCCATCCATGCAAGCCCAGCTACAGTGCTGTTTGTAGCGCATTCCCTCAAGCAGAGCTAGCATGTGTCCATCTACCTGGGCTGGGAAGCACACGCAACGCTGCAGTGTAGACAAACGCTCTGACAGATCATGCTGTAGCCACACACTGTACAAAGTCTCCTGCGGTAACAATCAGAGATGTGAAGGCCACTGATTGTCCATTCAGACCTCCTGCATGGCACAGGCCAGAGACCGTCCCCCAGCAAGCCCTGCATTGGGCCCTCACTTGTGGGCCAGCTGGAGGGGATCTTTTAGAGACAGCCAATCTCAATCTCAAGGCTCCAAGTGATGGAAAATCTTCCACGCCTGGGAAGCTACTTCAACGGGTCACTGCTTCATTGTTAAAATATCATGTCTTGTTTCTAGCTGACTTCAGCTTCTAACCTCTGGATCGTGTGTGTTTGCTGCTAGGCTAGCGAGCCTTGCAAAACACATAAGTGCAGCATGAAGTATCCACTCATGTTCTTGGTCTGTTTTTTTGGACAGGCGAAGCTAGCAGGGGAGCGGGGGGCTCGTGCCATCCTCTTCGACATCACAGATGATGAAAGTGCTGCTGACCAGGTACAAATGCTATTGATACCTTCAGGAAAACTTCAGTGATACCATCCTGTCCTGAAATACACACAGCTCCAGTCCAGGCTCCCCCTTCTTCATACCAGCCACGACCTGCAGAAATGGAGGGACAGAGCTGGGGTTGAGGCAAGGGGTGATGGTGCAGGTTGGCTCCTCCATTCAGTACACCTACCATAGAACAGAGACCTTTCCCCAGCTCATCCCGAACACGGAGAGCCCAGTTTGCACAAAGCCTTTCCCTAATGGGGTAGCTCCATCGCACAACTAGATGTCCAAGCAGGCATTTCTGCACACAATCCCTGCTCTGTGCAGCCAAACTGTTCCGGCATTGAGTTTGCCAAGTGCAGTCCCTCCAAGTCCTTATGCTAGCAGCCGAACCGTTATCCATGAGGGAGCCATATAGACTCTCACAACTGGTAAAACATCTACAACACTGACTTTACCCAGGGTCACTGAGGAGCATCTGTTCCCTAAGGAGACATCTGGTCCCTAGAGAGCGTCAGGGCACAAGGAGGTACATCAGGTGTTTAGAGAAAGAGCATGGTTGGTAGGGAGACACCTGGAGAGAGCTGGTGGTGAAGGACGTGGGAGTGGGAGGGTGTGGGACAATCCAGTCTCAGGAGAGATTGCTGCTCTTCAGAATTAATCCAAGTAGACTTCTGAACTCCAGCTGTGTGCAAAGAGCTCAGGGTTCGCCGGCTCTTTTCTCTGCCGCTGATCAACTGTGTTGGTCTCACACAAAGGGAGCTGCTTCCTCCCACCCCATGTGACAGAATAATGGCATGGAGCAAGTCTCAGACCTGTGTGGAGTAGCTGTTATTGTTGTGTAAGTGGGTGGTCAATGATGGTTGCTAGTGTTTGGCCTACGGTCAAAATGGCACCAGGCTAAGCGGAACGAGAACTGCAGGCTATAGGTACGAATAGGCTCCACTTTCTGTGGTGCTAGAGTCACGGGAAGTGAGTATAAACTAACGTGGCTGTTGGCTACAAAGAACACTTTGCTTTAGTGAGAAGAACACTAGACCCTTCCCCACGGACATTGTGTCAGGGCGTAACAAGTGCAGTCTAAGAGCAGCCTCCACTAGTTCCATGGGAGGAAGCAGGCCTTGCTTTTGCTGAACTGGGCAATAGGCAGGCAGCATTAGTTATGTCAAATAACGACTAACCAGAATCTAGTCCCAATCAAATGTAGGTGAATTAGCGAAGAAAGCTCAGGTTTGGGCTAGAGAGACTGTGCCCATCTCACTGTACACAAGAAGGAATGTGGCACTGACCACGGGCACTGGCCCCATTACTTTTCATAGTGGATTCATTCACTCATTCCTGAGGTCCAGCACTGGGCTAGGCACTTTACTAGCAGGTACGGTATAAAGGCAAAGGCCCTGCACCAAACAGCTTACAACCGAGACAGACAACGTACGGTGCGGGAGACAGGAGGCGGGGTAAAGGCAGTGAGACACGCCAGGGTGTTCATTATTTTTTTGCAAGGGTTATGAAGCATCATCCCCTCTCTGAGGTGAAGCCTATCGGTTTGGGGGAAGAGGTTGAAAGAGGAAAGCAAGAGACAAGCAGTGCCTGTAGAAGAGGCAGGGACAAGGACAGGAAAGAGGCAGGGAGGGGAGCAGTAGAGGCAAGAGCAGAGAGGTGGGCAGGAGCCAGGGTGTGGGGGGATGAGGCGCTTCCACCTGGTGCGGACAGAGGAGCAGAAGGGCAATAATAAATATACCATGTCATGGGTTCTGGGCAGCGACTGTAGCTCTTGTCCTGGGCAGCAGTCCTCACTCCCCCACCCCGTATTTGATGGTGGGTGTTGGTAAATCTCCATCACACCCATGTCTCAGGCTGTGCTCTGGGCCAGCTCATGAACAAGCTTGTTTCTTTGCAGCTGAGGAAACCCAGGGGCCTGACTCAGCCTGTGGTTCTGATCCGGGGCCATGATGCTGAGCTTCTGATGGGCGTCGTGAACAAGAATCGAGAAGCACATGTGAAGATTGAGGTTAAAGAGCAGCCAGCATGGGTGAGGAACATGTCATACCCGCCTTCTCCTTTCCACTCCAGGTCAACCTTTCCAGCACTGGAGCAACGCTGTGCCTCCCCTCCATGGGAGGTGACACCCTGGCCCTCTGCAAGAGCCAGATGGAGCCCTTCTTCCTCCGCTGTGGCTCAGGCTGCCCACGGCTAGTGAAGGTTGTAAAGCCCCTTCGGCTCATTGGCAATTTCTCTCTGAAACCTCCCAAGTCATCTAAGGAAATGTCTTGTCTCTTTATCTGGTACCAGGCTCAGGCCCTTTGATCTGCAGAGCAAAGCATAGCGAGCTGAGACACCAAGAGGGGCTGGCTGAGATTTGCAGAGAGGACCTCAGACCGGTTTTCTTTTCCCTGTGAGGAGCCGGGAGGGTGGGTCTGGCCGGGCACCCCTCCTATGTCTGAAGGGTAACGATCATGAAGAGATCAGGAGCCTGCCCTGCTCTCATTCCTACCAGGCACAGACACCAGGGTAACGGATCTTCTGTCTCTCTCCAACAGCCAGACTATGATGTGTGGATTCTTCTCACAGTGCTGAGCACTGTCATTGTGATCGTTCTGATTTTTGTCGTTCGCACCAAGTGTCACTGGAACAGGACTCAGGTAAGACCGTGTGGAGACAGCTCAGAACCAGGCTGTTCTACCAGCAAGAGGGGAGCAATGGGGGCTCCTTCTACACAGCCTAAGGAAGGGCGTGATGGGGCAGAGCCAAGAGTGAGAGAAAGTGTGTGTGTGTTTGAGAAAGAGGAGACCTGTCTACACAAGGCGAGCGTCCCGTTGCAGGGACAAGCCTGCAGCTCAAATGATGTGAACAGTCTGGGTTCCTGTAGTGATTCAGTGCAGCCACACTCCAGCCCTGGGTTTTGGGAACCAGTCGTGTCATATGTGGTTTGCACTCACCCCAGACATTGCAGCACCTTCCCAACCAGCTCTCCCGAGCAGGCGCCATTTACACAAATGTTGGCAAAGTGCCCTGAATTCCCCCGCTCACTAACTAACCCTGTCCTCGGTGCCTGGGGAGTCACTTGCCCTTTTTTTTTTTTGAAGTGAGGAAAATACTTTAGGGTTCCGGTTGAAAACAGGAGCGGGCTCCTGGTTTTGGGCGCGCGAAGCAGACACAGCGAAAGAAAAAAAAGCCGCGATCGCGATCTAAAGAAAGCCGCGATCGCGATCTAAAAAAAGCCGCGATCGCGATCTGCGGCGGCAATTCGGCGGGAGGTCCTTCACTCCCAGGCGGAGTGAGGGACCGTCCGCCGAATTGCCGCCGAATACCTGGAACTGCTGCCCCTGTCCTGAACGGCCGCCCCAAGCACCTGCTTGAGAAGCTGGTGCCTGGAGCCGGCCCTGATGAAAACCAATACATTACATAAAAGACCTTCCAAGTACAGAAATATTTCCAAATTTGGAAACTCTCCTTTTTCCAGGATAACAAAGTCACTCCTGACAGCCCAGTTCCTGAATACCTTGTTGGCCTAGAGCTCCAGAAGTGACATGTGACTAGAGACACCTGAAATGGGCCTGGATTTCAGAGTGGGCTAAGCAGCTACCTCTGTGATCCAGGCCTGTTTAAGGCATCTGAGCTTGGGCACCCAAAGTCCTGAGTCACTTCCTTGGCCACAACCACAACTCAGATAAAAATAGCTACATTTTAGTGTAATCCACTAGAAAATGGAAAGAACAAAGAACACCGCCCGCCCTTGCCCTGAGATTCAGCACTTCCCCATTTCTGACAGAACCAGTTTTTTCTGACTCAATAGAAAGATAAGCTTGCACGTCTTCTAGTGAAATGACACATAGCAGCAAAGATAAGCAGAACGGAAAGCTCAGTACCCAGAAAGGTAAGTCCCAGAGGAGTTGAGATTTGGGGTATTATACGATTATTGCAGGTGGAGCAGCAGCGACGCCTAGAGCTGAGGTAGCCCAACACTCACCTCAGGCAGAAATTCCTCATGTCTGGGCTCTGCCTCAGGTTGGACATTTTTGAAAGTTGGAACGGAAACGGTGCAGCTGTTTTCCATAAAAGAACTAGGAGCTTTTCCCAATGCAACCAGATTGGGAATGTTCTACCTGCACTGAGCCTGCGCCCCACCCAGCCTCCTCTAACACGTGCCAGGGCCGTAGCTAGTGCTTCAGATGGGGCTTGGGCAAACCAGAGTCTCCTCCTTCTGCTTGCACAGGGGAAATGCAGGCAGCCAAGATCCTATGAGTTCTAGTCTCTTTTCTTCCAGCAACTGGGATTAGTAATTCTAGTGCCATTAATTCTTTGCACTTATAGCCCTTCTGTACCCCTACCCTATGACAGTGGTTTTCAAACTGCGGGTCGCGACCCAGAACCGGGTCATGGAATGTCAGGCATTGGGTCATGGTGGCTCTGGTCAGCACCGCTGACCAGGCCGTTAAAAGTCCCGTCGGCGGTGCTGCCCGGCTAAGGTAGGCTAGTCCCTGCCTGTTCTGACACCGTGCTGCGTCCTGGAAGCAGCCAGCAGCAGGTTTGGTTCCTAGGCAGGGGGGCAAGTCCCGTCCGTGTGCTGCCCCCGCTCCGAGCACCGACTCCGCATTCCCATTGGCCAATGGGAGCTGGGGGGGGCGGTGCCTGCGGGCGAGAGCCGTGTGAAGCTGCTTGCGCCTTCCGCCTAGGAGCCAGACCTGCTGCCGGCTGCTTCTGGGGCGCAGCGCGGTCCACGGTGCCAGGACAGGCAGGAAGCCTGCCTCTGCACCCCCACTGCACCGCTGACCGGGAGCCACCCGACGTAAGCCTGCGCCCCAACCCTGCGCCCCAATTCCCTGCCCCAGCCCTGAGCCCCCCAAACCCAGAGCCCCCTCCTGCACCCCAAACCCCTTATCCCCAGCCCAGAGCCCTGACCCCCTCCCGCACCCCAACCCCCTGCCCCAGCTAGGGCCCCCTCCTATACTCTGAACCCCTCATTCCTGGTCCCACCCCACAGTCCTCACCCCCGCACCTCAACCCTCTGCCCCAGCACTGAGCCCCTCCCACACACCAAACCCCTCATCCCCAGCTCCATTGGGTCGCAGGCATCAACAATTTTCTTCAGAATACGGACCCTGAATTTCAGAAAAGCAGACTTTGACTCCCTCAGGGAACTGATGGGCAGGATCCCCTGGGAGAATAACACGAGGGGGAAAGGAGTCCAGGAGAGCTGGCTGTATTTTAAAGAATCCTTATTGAGGCTGCAGGAACAAACCATCCCGATGCGTAGAAAGAACAGTAAATATGGCAGGCGACCAGCTTGGCTTAACAGTGAAATCTTTGCTGATCTTAAACACAAAAAAGAAGCTTACAAGAAGTGGAAGATTCGACAAATGACCAGGGAGGAGTATAAAAATATCGCTCAGGCATGCAGGAGTGAAATCAGGAAGGCCAAATCACACTTGGAGTTGCAGCTAGCAAGAGATGTTAAGAGTAACAAGAAGGGTTTCTTCAGGTATGTTAACAACAAGAAGAAAGTCAAGGAAAGTGTGGGCCCCTTACTGAATGAGGGAGACAACCTAGTGACAGAGGATGTGGAAAAAGCTAATGTACTCAATGCTTTTTTTGCCTCTGTCTTCATGAACAAGGTCAGATCCCAGACCGCTGCACTGGGCAGCACAGCATGGGGAGGAGGTGACCAGCCCTCTGTGGAGAAAGAAGTGGTTCAGGACTATTTAGAAAAGCTGAACGAACACAAGTCCATGGGGCCGGATGCGCTGCATCCGAGGGTGCTAAAGGAGTTGGCGGATGGGATTGCAGAACCATTGGCCATTATCTTTGAAAACTCATGGCGATTGGGGGAGGTCCCGGATGACTGGAAGAAGGCTAATGTAGTGCCCATCTTTAAAAAAGGGAAGAAGGAAGATCCAGGGAACTACAGGCCAGTCAGCCTCACCTCAGTCCCTGGAAAAATCATGGAGCAGGTCCTCAAGGAATCAATTTTGAAGCACTCAGAGGAGAGGAAAGTGATCAGGAACAGTCAGCATGGATTCACCAAGGGCAAGTCATGCCTGACTAACCTAATTGCTTTCTATGACGAGATAACTGGCTCTGTGGATGAGGGGAAAGCAGTGGACATGTTGTTCCTGGACTTTAGCAAAGCTTTTAATACGGTCTCCCACAGTATTCTTGCCGGCAAGTTAGACTCATAGACTCATAGACTTTAAGGTCAGAAGGGACCATTATGGTCATCTAGTCTGACCTCCCGCATGATGCAGGCCACATAAGCTGACCCCCCCCACTTTCCCTTAACTCTGCTGTTGAAGTCTCCAGATCATGATTTAAAGACTTCAAGTCGCAGAGAATCCTCCAGCTTGCGACCCCTGCCCTATGCTGCGGAGGAAGGTGAAAAACCTCCAGGGCCTCTGCCAATCTACCCTGGAGGAAAATTCCTTCCTGACCCCAAATATGGCGATCAGTAGAACCCCGAGCATACAGGCAAGATTCTCCAGCCAGACCCTCATTTTACCAGCGATGGCACGTTATTGCCTAATTGACTAAAATCACTTATCCCATCAAACCATTCCCTCCATAAACGTATCTAGCCTAATCTTGAAGCCAGAGAGTTAAAGAGGTATGGGCTGGATGAATGGACTATAAGGTGGATAGAAAGCTGGCTAGATCATCAGGCTCAACGGGGAGTGATCAATGGCTCCATGTCTAGTTGGCAGCCGGTATCAAGCGGAGTGCCCCAGGTGTCGATCCTGGGGCTGGTTTTGTTCAACATCTTTATTAATGATCAGGAGGATGGTGTGGATTGCACCCTCAGAAAGTTTGCAGATGACACTAAACTGGGAGGAGTGGTAGATACGATGGAGGGTAGGGATAGGATAGAGAGGGATATAGTCAAATTAGAGGATTGGGCCAAAAGAAATCTGATGAGGTTCAACAAGGACAAGTGCAGAGTCCTGCTCTTAAGACAGAAGAATCCCATGCACTGCTACAGACTAGGGACTGAGTGGGTAGGCAGCAGTTCTGCAGAAAAGGACCTAGGGGTTACAGTGGACGAGAAGCTGGATATGAGTCAACAGTGTGTCCTTGTTGCCAAGAAGGCTAACAGCATTTTGGGCTGTATAAGTAGGAGCATTGCCAGCAGATCAAGAGACGTGATCATTCCCCTTTATTCGACATTGGTGAGGCCTCATCTGGAGTACTGTGTCCAGTTTTGGGTCCCACACTACAAGAAGGATGTGGAAAAATTGGAAAGAGTCCAGAGAAGGGCAACTAAAATGATTAGGGGGCTGGAGCACATTATTTATGAGGAGAGGCTGAGGGAACTGGGATTATTTAGTCTGCAGAAGAGAAGAATGAGGGGGGATTTGATAGCTGCTTTCAACTACCTGAAAGAGGGTTCCAAAGAGGATGGATCTAGACTGTTCTCAGTGGTGGCAGATGACAGAACAAGGAACAATGGTCTCAAGTTGCAGTGGGGAAGGTTTAGGTTGGATATTAGGAAACACTATTTCAGTAGAAGGGTGGTGAAGCACTGGAATGGGTTACCTGGGGGGGAGGGGGGGGAATCTCCTTCCTTAGAGGTTTTTAAGGCCTGGCTTGACAAAGCCCTGGCTGGGATGATTTAGTTGGGGTTGGTCCTGCTTTGAGCAGGAGGATGGAC